TTCTTGGAAAGTATCCCATATCCAGACATTCATTGAAAATACTCAACAGCCGGTCTTCAATATACGTGATACTGTTCCTCAAGATCGCTGCATCTATTGCATCAAGTCCTGGAGCACGATTAGTCTTCTGCTTATCCACGGCAATACGAAGATCGTGAATGTCCCATGGTGGGCACAAATCTGAACCAGGTGGATATACCGTGGTGCGTCTCACAAAATCATCATTTTCGCTGTCCTGGGTTGGGTCATCTCTGGGATATATTGCTTCAATGAAAACATTGGCAGTTTCTTCAAGGGTGGTTGCCTCAGTATTATGATACCGCAAGGCTGCAATAGTCTGCATCGGGGACAACTTACCCAATGCTACCCTATACGGAATACCCCAGGGATTCTTCGAAGACTCTTCAATGATGAAATCATCCCAAGACTTCCGCTTTTGTGAGCGAACCTCGTTTCGGTATATCCTGGCTTTTGACTTGTACTCATTGCGAAGTACAGTGCGCCTCTCTTCGCATCTGCACCTCTGATATGACCGCCGGGCCTTGTAGAGGTCTCGTTTTAGAACAGTTAAGGCTGGCGTCCACCATGGGACAGGTCGAACCCTCGCCTTCCGGTGCTTGAGGGAGTGTTCGGCAGCATCACGAATGTTGTTGGTAATCCTGGACACCTTGTAGTCCAGATTGTCAACTACATCCATCTCTGCCGCTTCCCACTCCTCGTCTGCAATCACTCCTTCCAGGTAGGACCTGAAGACACTCCAGTCATTTATTTTAGTGACGAAACCCTTATCAGTACCGTGGGAACATCCTGGCTCATTTACCAGGCCAATTGCTATCGCAACGTGATCGGAACTCGTATCAGATCTGAGAGTCCAATCAGCAATATACCTCGTAAGCGCAGGCGTGGCGATCGTGACGTCAATCCAACTCTGCCCCATGCCTCCAGAGAAGGTAGGGGTGGCAGAGGGTTCGTTCATCACGACAAGGTGATTTCTGCCTATGAAATTTCCCATTTTAGCGCCTCGCCTGTCAGTAATATTGGACCCCCAGACCGTGTTCCAGGAGTTGGTATCTGAGCACATGATCACATTCCTCATCTCTCTAATGATCGCCTCCATAGCGGATATGCTTTCTTCTACATCACTATTCACAGGTAGGTATGCCGATACCAATGTGAAAGAAATCTTGCCCCACTTAACGTAGCAAGATGCATAATCCGCCATGGTGTGTTGCCTCAGATCCATCACGTCAAGGTTAGGATTATTAATCACTATTGCAGCCCTGGGCCTCCTCTCTCCACTGCTCAGGGCTATAACTCTTGACGTGAGGCCAAACCCCGTAACCCTGTTCCCACGGCAGCTAGGTTCCTGGACCGCCATGATATCGTAGCGTTGTGCCATGGCGCGAAGCTCGTCAGCCACAATATGCCGGCGGCCCATATTCAACTGCAGGATGTTGAGTCTAATCATAGTGAGTTCTCCTCACTAATTCTTGAGATCTCTTGATGTGCACTGGGCATTCTCTACTTCCTGCCTGGTGTTTAGCCTTACTTTTTTGAACACCTTCCCTCACGCAGTTAACGCATGTAGGTGCGGTCTTATTTCCTTTTGCGGGACAGTTTTTAGCAATATGCCCACTCGCCGCACACCACTTGCATACTATGCCATTTGCCTCACAAGTAGCTTTTGTATGTCCATATCCCTGACACCTTAGACAGGGAGGAGCATCGGGGTAATCTAAGATTGTCAGTGACCACCAACCTCCTGTAATTATTTCCTCCTTGAGTAGATTATATCTTACCATTGGATGTACTTCTAACACCCAATTATTGGTAATTTTATTTCTAGCCATTGATGAGAACAATGGCTTTATATTACCTAATTGGTTCTCAGAAATAACGGCCGATTTTGCAGCCAACCTTTCCCATAGCACCCTTTCTAGATTTTCCGCACTCCATGAAAGGGGAACTCCTTTTACCTCCACTTTTGGTTTTCTTTTTAAGGCTAGTTTTGCCTCCATCCCAACTTCTTTTAATTTTTGCCATTCAATTATTTTTTTAGCATGGGCACCCTCATCTACACAAACTAAAACTGAGCCAGCTTTGGTCGCCCGTACAACTCTCGCCTTGACTCCTAGTTCAGTTGGAGAAGGCAGATTGTTGATGATGTCAGCTGCACTTTTACCTTGAGAAGCGATGGTAACATAAGTTGGTCTTGTAGTATCCATCGGTTTTAATGGAAGCCTTTTAACAATATCGGCCATCGTAGTCTGATGTGTAGACCTTTTCTTGGTCAAACTTTCCTCTGATATTGGTTTAGAGGCCTCGATCTCTTTGGCCACTTGTGGAAGAGCCTTTTTCCTTCTTTGCTTTTTCTTTACTTCCTGGAAACTTTCATTCTCCGTGGTCTCAATAATAGCGTGGGCATCGGCTAATAGCGGTTGTTCTTTAACGCATGGAAACTCCCGAGATGTCTGAGGTTCTGACAGTGGTCTTTGTATGGTTTTACTTTCCGACTTGAGTCCCTCGATAACCATAGGTACTGCTTTTTCCACTAATGCATTTACTATGATATCATACATTTCAGAGGAAGCTAATGTGTCCTTTACCACACGTTGTACTAAAAACGTTTTTTCATAGTTCTTATCATATATTGTCTCCATTATATCTATTAACTGCTGCATTTTCCCATTAACGTGCTTTTGTACCTTCGCACTCACGTTCCTGTCTGTTGCGTTCATGTAGACCCTGATGTTTTCTTTGATTCTACGTGCATCTTGCAGAAGACTATCGTCTACACGTTCTTTATCTGTTTCTTCTCGGGCGTCAGGAGATCCTTTCCTTTGCCTCTTTGCTGAAGGCCTTGGGCACTTTATAGCCTGTTCTTCCACCATTTCCTGCTCCATTGCTGATGCAATTTCATCAGCCATCTTACGCAATCCAAAATTAACAACTTTATACGTTGAAATAATGGGTGAACAACAGTAGAAGGAAATATTCAACACTCAAAATCTAACCTACGTTCGGGAACTTATAAATTTCCTATCTTCAAAAGTAAGACTTTAATATGAACTTACCTTAGTGCTTCACCAACGTAATAGTCTCTAAACGTCCTTTTGGTTAGATTAAACCTTCGTGAAAACCACAAAGTTAACCTTAACCTCCACTGTTCACTCAAAAAGTTTATAAAATTAACTAAATAAACATAAACTAAAACTAAATCATGTTCAAAAAACTATAAAACACTAAAATAACACAAACAGTAGGAAACGATACAACAAAACTAACAAAACAAACTTGAAAAACACAAAACACTGAGAAGCACAATAACACTTTATCATAGGTAGATAACCTTCCTCGTCGAATATCATATATCTCTCGTACCTATTTACACTTCCAGCGCTTTAGTTCAAACTTCGTCGGATAACCGTTAGAGATGACGCCACCTACACATCTCTTCTCTCTCCCCCTCCCTTGTAACGACTTTTATTCTCCCTTCGACACTTAAGGAGACAGGTAGTACTTCTTTTATTTCTTTCTTATTTCAGCTTTCTCAATTTCTTCCCTCCTTCCTTTCATTCCTTTTCTCTGTTTTTAACTCTTTATTATATTATACATTGTCTGTACATCTTTACAATATCTCAATTTTCTATCTAACTACTCCATTCTCAATGTTTTAATTTTACTATTTATTTTCATTTCTTATATAACTTTATATTTCTTTTTTATGTTTTACATTTTATTCTAAGATTCCCATTGTAACACTTTTGTCACCCTTTTTGATTATGCCTACTTCATCATTCCACACTTTGTAACGGTTTTTATTATTTATCTCTTAGTTCTTAGTCATTATTCTAACAATTTCATTTTACTTTATATTTATCTATTTTATTTTTCTAATTTTTTTTTATTTTATTTTTATTATCTTTTTTACCATCATTACTTATGTTTCTTATACCTTGTTATCTGGTTATTTTCTTAGCCCTGATGAAGGCCTGAACTTCAGGTCGAAACGTCGGCATATGTAAAAAATAAATATTATCATTTATTTTTGCCTTCCTTTTTGACTGACCACCCCAACTATTTTTCTCTTCATTATCCACGACAGTCAACCAATTACCAATTACAAAAGTATATTAGTTACACCAATTCTTTACATATTGTAACTAAAATTGTCAGGTATTAGAAACTATTTTGCCTCAATTTTTATTTAAAAAATCGATTTTTTTTACTATTGTTGGTCTTGGTCTTGCAACAGATAGGCGGTGTTCGTCTTGGCCTTGCAAAGTGCAAGACCTATTTTGGGCAACACTAGTGATAACCAAATGATATACCAAAGAATACTGGTGTAGTTTAGTGTAATATGGTTTAAATCCTGGTGTCGAAGAGTTTCAACTTTGACATGATTCACCCACCCTCTCCCTTACCCCATAAAAACCCTGCAGGAGCAACACGGCGAGTAAGGGAAGAAAATAAATTATTCATCCTTTCTTTTGTAAACCTTTTGAATGTTAACTTTACATTCAGTATATCTGTTTTTTCAATCTCTTTTGGATTGAGACCATCAGTATGGTTCATGTCTTTTTTTTAGTTTATTGATTGATAAACTGCTGGAAATGTTCTTTCATTATTGTGATATATCGAAATAAAACTATTAAACGACAATATCGATATATCTAACATTCCTATCCTAAGGGCGCCTGAAATTCATTCCTGAATCGGTCTAGTTAGTTCATCTCTGTGCCGCTAGAGTCTCTATGATTGCGATATAGATAATCGATTACTTCTTGTTGCCAATGTAAGATGATTGCAATATTTGAAACAACTATAAGCATAGTCATTATCACAATTGTATAACGCAATTGCTTAATGGAGCTTCTGCTGGTATTTTTGGACATTTCACATGCAGTAGGCTGTTTTCACAGTTGGTTCAGCCCTGTAAAAGTATAGTAGATCACTATTGGTCATAAATGTATAAAAACCGTGCCAACAGACGGAAATCGATGGTGGGTTTAGAATTGTGCTGGTGGAGAGAGACAAGGTTAACTTTGGAAGAAGTCTTCAGGAAACCTCGTGTTATGGGAACCTTTCCCTTCACGACTGTATACGAGGTTATTATTTGGCCCTCAGCTGTTGTAGGCTTCATCAGCGCCATATTGAACATTATAGGCGTATATTATTCACTGCATGTCGAACTGGAAGCAAGCATTTTCGGCTTGCCAATAGGAAGGTTAGCAAAAGCTATCGTTACTACCGTTAGCAACGTTTCCCATCCAATATGGATGATTGGCAATCATAAATGCGTAATTCAACTTTTGAGGTCAATCGCATCAGTGGAAAATGAACTGGACAAGAAATCGCTGAAATGGAATCGAAAGCATAGTTACATTTCTTTCTTCTTGCTTCCTGCAATGATACTAGTTGTAACGATTGCTCAAAGTGTTTGGGTTTATATAAAAGCAGGTTTCCTTAGTAGTTTTTCGTTTATAATGATATTAATCTGCGTTTTTCCAGCGCTGTCTTATATATGGCAGTATCTCTCCCTCCACGATGTTCTCAGATCGCTGATGAACAGAATCAGCGAACTCGACGATGCCGAATCCTTCGTAAACAGCTACCATTCCTTAGTGACGGCCTATCGTGCTGTTGATAAACTTTACGGATTGCAGTTAATTGTATACTTCATCATGGCAATGATTGATATCGTCCATAGCTTGCACTTCACTTTCTCAAAGAATGAACTCGATTGGTTGTTCATCTGCCAGGTCCTTTGGACTTGCTATTATTCATTCATTGTGTTTCTGATTGTTGAAAAGTGTAACTCTTCTGTGGCACAGGTAAGTTATTTTATGTCTAATCAATTTTGCGATACATATAAGTCATGTACACCGTCCCATAAATATCAAATCATATAACATAGAAGCAAACAAGGATAGGTGCATTTTTGAAAAAATAGAGTTAAGTGCATGCTAATCTGAATGTTTGACACTGAGCGGTTCCTTCGGCTTTTTGGGTAGATGGGTTCGCTGGATGTAACCTCATTATAATCTTATTGTTAATTTACATATTTATTTTCCGCTTACTTTCTGTGTACCTAGTTCTGCATTAAATACTGTTACAAAAATTGAACTTTGTTTAATCCTTGGGTTCTCGCCTCCTGTCCCGAAACTTAAAAATTAGAATTTACAAAACGATTATCCTACCTACAGTTCTTTTTGGATGCGTAACGTGGCCGATTACATAAAGGGATGAACAACGGCTTAAAGTTTTTGAAAATAAATTATTCCGCAGAATATTTGGACCGAAAAAGGACGAGTCAACCGGAGAATTTAGGCGGTTACACAACGATGAATTGCATGAACGGTATCCGGTTAATATAATTGAGGTGATTAAGTTGAGGCGAATAAAATGGGCATGTAAAATCGGTGGGCTCAGTAACGAAAGAATTCCTAAAAAGTTAATATGTGCTGTACCGACTGGCAAGCGTCCGAGGGGTAGACCAAAGCGAAGATGGGTAGATTGCGTTAAGGCTGATTATATGGATGGAAGAATGTGGACATCGATTGGCGGTATCGTTATCTAACCTTCGTGTTCGCAAAGCCTTATTATTAATCCTTGGGTATTATTAAGATAATACTTACCTCTATCAGGTTATTTTCTTTACATGTCAGGATAATAATCGCAATTAGTTTGTATTTTTAATTCGTTCACTTAACATGGAGTGGGGTGATAAAGAAAACCGAATAGTTGTGATAGACTTACACAAAGTTGGAAAATGTAGGTCAGAGATTTTCAACACCTTGAAACTATTGAGTATCAGCCGTATGTTGGCTGCTCAGTGGCTGCTCGAATCAGAAGAAATACCATTCTAAAACAACGAATCATATCTCGCGAAATAAGATCTCTGTCAGATCAATGTTTTTCTTAATAAAAAAAGTGACCTTAGGATGGGTGCATTTCGAAGAATGACAAGACAAAGGCTATCCACTTACCTAAAAAAAAATTAGAGTGGATAGATGAAAATTGCTCCTTAACCGTTACACCAATGGAATTTATCCAATGATTTTGTTTAGCGATGAGAAAATGTTTACAATTAAAGAAAAATTTAACCGCCAAAATGACCGTGTGTTTGCAAACAGCTCTAAAGAAGCCCAGGAAGTCATTGGAAGAGTGAAAAGAGGTCATCACCCTTCCTCAGTGATAGTTTAGTGGGAAGTTTGCATTGATGGTAACACAAATCTCCATTTTTGTGAAAAATTAGTTAAAACTGCCGCTAAAAACTATCAGGACGATATTTTGGAACCTGTTGTCAAGTCTCTAAATTACACTCTGTTTGCTATAAGTCATCTGGTTTTCCAGCAGGATTCAGTTACAGCTCACAAGGCCAGGTTAACTCAGCATTGGCTGCAGATTATCGGCTTTGGTCCGAACTGGAGAAGATGGCATGCCACAGAGCACACCCTAACTTGGAAAGCCACAAGCAATATCTGGTCCGAGCAGTTAAGCGCTTTTCTCAAAAAGTGCTGCGTACTGCTGTTGATGACTGGCCCTGTAGATTAAATGCCTGTGTCAAGGCAAAAGTGTTACTTAAGTACTTATGCCTAGTATCGAGTTTCAATTTTCAGTTTTATTGGCGCATAACCAATTTCTGGGTGTTATGGCGTTATGGCCCAAGAATCTTGGTCTTTTAATAAGTTTTCTCCAATCAGACTGCTCTACCAATGTCTCATACCCAGTGACATCAGGTCTTCCTCTACATCGTCCGTCCATCGTTGCTAGGCCTGCCTCTTCCCTTTCTTTATCTGGAAGTTCTTCCATTATTTGCTTTAGGGGTCTTCGACCCATCCGATGTTCATGGCTCAGCCATCTTATTTCTCTCTTTTTAATGCGAGATACTTTATAAGTTTGCCCATATCGGTCCTTCAGTTATGTGTTGGTTTTTCTGGGGTAAAGATTTCCGACATTCATAATCAGTTACATTCTGCGCATCGACCAACCAATTCTCAACTACAAATGTTGCCTTAGCATCATGAACATTCCTTCTTTCAAGAGCAGTTTAGGTTTCTCACATCTTCTGGTTTCATATGTTGTACGTCTTCCATAGTTCTCCTCGGAACATTTGGAGGAATGATATCATTTAACAGAGTGTGACCGATTTGCATGGCTCTAAAGGCTTCTGGATTCATACAGAATACTATAACAGAAAACTTCCTCCATGAGACGACCCTGTATCAGGACTTAATTAGAAGAACGAAAAGATTTGAGACAGAGATGGAGGTGTAATAGACTACCATTGCTATTGTTGTCTTTGGTATTGGCAAAAAATACAATAGGCCAACTTTTCAGTTCCAGTACCAGTAGGAATCATATCAGCTATAATACCAGATCATCTTAATAATTCCATACGATTATTTACTTTTTTTAAAATTATAGCTTGTCTGTTCAATGCATACTGTACGGGTTCTTGCCGTAGTGGATAGCTATCCTTATCATCTATGTTGTGAAAGCTTGCGTTGCTATACACAGCTGCAATCAAAACCAATACTTTTTTCTCCTAGCTATGCGCACAGTTTGCTAATCCTGAACCAGCTTCTACACTTCACCATCCTCTTTCCGTGGCCGACATGTGGAAAGTATTTCCTTCGGATAGCTCTTTTTGGTGTTGTCACCCATCGTCGGTTCCATTCTTCTGATGGTTCTCTCTGAGAATTCTCTCCCATCTAGCTTTCACTGAGGCTCACACAGGTAGACATATCAGTATTTCCTTCTTCATTACCCCTTCAGATTTTCTCACATGGATGAAATGGATATCTGATTCTTTTTACTCCTTATATACAGCTATAAATTTGTTCTTCTCTTCACCCTCAAAGAGATCGCAATGTCTTTCTCTCAGACATCCAATTTGAAAACGGTCCATGTCTCCAAACCTAATGTCAACTATAACCGTGTTTATTTAAAAGTTGATCTCTATCCATCCCATCGTAGGCTTCTTAAAATATGGTAATTAATTTTAAATTTACGTTTTTTTTTAACTGCATTGCCCTCAACGAAAAAATATGATCAATCTTAAAGTTCATTCAGAGGTGCCCAGAAGGAGATTTTATATCGCAAGTAACATCACCAAAATTTTTGAGGGAGGAACTTTTTCAGGGGCTTTTGAATTTTTGAAGGGGCACATTCCGATGGGGTTATGAATTTTCGGAATGAAAAGTTTCACCAGTAGAAAAGAGGAGGCCACTGAAAGTATAATGGAATATGCTTACTTTTGCTTGCACTGTTATTAAAAAAAAGAGAGCAATAAAATATCTTAGGAGGGAAAGGGAATTCATACGCCATCAACCTTGGGGCGGGGAGAAGGAGGATGTGGACATACCTCAGTTTACTTGTTCGTCAGTCGAATAGTTCACTTAAATAAATTGCTGTCACAGTAAAATGTTTGCTTTCAAATGTTTCCAATTAGAAGACATGATGTTAACAGTTGATTGATTATTTTCTTTGGATTGGATTGCTTATATACTTCAGATGGAAATGTTAAAAACAACAAATAAACAACCTCTTTCGTTATATATACGATATTTCGATTTCGCAATCCATTCAGGGATGGATGTTCTTGACATTTTTGTAGTTTATAATAAATGTCATTGACGTTATTGTTAGTGTAGCAGAAAAGATCACGATCACTTATTATTTGAAAAGCTCACGATCGGATAAAAATGACAAGGATTCGTAAGAAGAAGACGTCTATGATCGCTTTGGAACTATGTTGGTGGGAGCAAACGAGACTGCTTTTGGAGGAGATATTCAGGAAACCTCGACTGACAGGTACCTTCCCATTCACAACTGGCTACGACATTCGTCTAAGGCCAGCATTGCTCGTTGCTATTGCCAGTATTGCATTAAACATTGGAGGAATAATTTACGCCACGGAGGTTAGAATGAATGTATTCAGTATCGATATACAGTTGGTCAGGATTCTGAAGGCTTCCATAACGACCACATGCAACATATTTTCTCCACTGTGGATGATCAAAAATCATAAATCCATAATAAAACTTCTGAGAATGATCTCTTCAGTGGAAAAGGAGCTGGACAAGGTTACACTTAAATGGAATCGCAAGCGACATCGACTTCCATTCTCCTTGGTCCCTGCAATAGCAACAACGATAACAATAATTCAGTGTCTGTGGTATTACCAGAATAACGAATTCCTCACTGCATTCTCACTTATCAGTGTGATCATATGTGCGTATCCAGCCATGTCTTATGTGTGGCAGTACCTCACCCTCCACGATGTCCTGAGGTCTCTCATGGTCAGGATCGGCCAACTCGATGATGCGGATAGCTTCGTTAACTGCTACCATTCTCTAGTGGTTGCTTATCGTGCGATCGATAAACTTTACGGGTTGCAGATAATGATATATTCCATCATGGCGATTCAATCTATTCTCCATAGCCTACATTTCGTCTTCTCAAACGGCGATTTCTATTTGATGACTGTCTGTCAAATCCTTTGGGCTTCTTTTTATTCGGTCATTGTATTAATAATTATCAAAAAGTGTAACTCTTCTCTGGCGCAGGTGAGTGAGAACTTATAATTAATAAAACTTTAATTCTATATATGTACAGGATGTTTTATGGAGTCGACACAAAAAATATAAATTAACGATCTTAAAATAAAAATTGTGTTGTTAGCAACCCAATATAATTGGGCAGCACCATTTTATTCTATTTTATGATAATAAAGTGATTCTCTCTCTCCTATCAAGGTATGTCCATTAATTCTTTGTTCAGGAGATATTAGTGTTTAAAGATTTCCATTGTTATGATTTATTTAAGTTATAAAAAATAAATTTCGGTCACAAACAGAGCTTGATTTTCCCTATCAAAGTATTTAAAATCCCAAAAATATCAAGAAATCTCAAATTAAGGGTATATAATGCTATCATAAAGCCTATTCTTATATACATGGCTGTGAGACGTGGACACTAACCATCACCCTAGAAAGAAGTATTGAAAGATTAAGAGGAAAATCCTCCGCTCGATAGCCAGAGCGATATAGAAACAGAATATTAAAGGATGGAGGAGAAAGAACTATAAAGAGTCGCTTTTTCAGAAACTAGTTATTAATATCTCATGATATGAAGGCACCAATCTTAAGACAGGTGGGTCATGTAGCTCGGAGCAATCCGTTTGGAAATCTCTGCACGACACTCTCTCGCACTCTCTCTTTCTCTTTTCCGGTTGGCCTACAGACCACGAAGATCTTTGGTCGCGAGATGTGGTCTCCTTACAGACGTATGTTGCTTGCGGGAGTTCAGATAGCCTGAAGGGGGGTCAACCCAGCCTCACGTTGCAAAGAACCATGCTCTCCATGGTGCAGCGACAGGCCACCCGTAGCTCCATAGCCGATCCCTTTGGGGCCAATTGGGCAGTGTCCTTCTCACCGACTCGCTCGGGTTCAAGGACGGTCACAAATCGGTCTAGATCTATGGATTATGGCTGATCAGAGTCAGCAGGTGCACAAGGACCTATATTTCTTTCCCCGAAACAGACCGTCCATGGACCGAATCTCAGGGGGCTAATCCTGGTTAACCACATCCCGATTTCTGATTTAAATAAACGAGGTAGGGTCATCAGTTCTACGCCTGGTCGTCGTGAGTTGCCTCCAGTAGAGTGACGGGGCTCATATACCCGGGAGGGAGGAAGACTCGGGCAGCATGGCTTTCCCTGGTGGACGGTCATCCATCCAAGTACTAACCAAGGTCTACGTTGCTTAACTTTGCACTTGACTGCCTATTACAAGCGCCTTAGCCCGTACGGCTACCCAGATACACATACACATATATATAACTTCACATACTAATATAAACCTCTCAACAAAGTCTCCAATCTTTTGTTGAAATCTTCTTCTTCATCCAAGGCTCTACAAACACGAGAGGTCACGCCAGCCTGAAGTAATATCTGCCATTCATCTCGAAATCGTGCAGCCGCTCTTGAGTCCCGTGATTCCAATCCCCAGAATGGTGCGTGCATACTTTGTTACCTTAACCACATGGCGCAGCCTGGGCTGTTCACAACTTCTGGTGTTATGGGTTTCTTCGTCGAGGAGCCTCCTTTGTATTGAGAGAGCATTCATCCTGCCCACATGCCCAGCCCACCTGAGCAAACTGACCCTGTTGAAGCGCACTAAATCGCAGTCTTCGTACGGCTCTGAGATTTAGGTATTTGTCCTGATCCACCAGGCTAGCTCGTTGGCATCAAGAATAGCTCCAAAACTTCTTTTAAGTATTTTTCTTTCGAATCGTTGGAGTTTATTTTCCTATGCCTTGGATATAGTCCAGATCTCTGATCCACATACTGGCCTAATTCGAGTTTTGTACACAGGCAATTTGAATGTACAAGACAATTTTCTACTTTTCGTCAGTCACACTAGTCCAAAATAACATTTGTTAGCTGCAATGATTCTTCTTTGAATTTCTTTTCCCACGGCGTTATTCTGATTTTGAAGACAATCTTTTCCTTCATTGCCAAAAAATAAGCTCATCGGCCAAAATAACAGGTAAAAAAGTTATTAAGAAACGAAAACTCTTATTTGCAAATTTTTTAGGAAGGGACAATTTTGAATGGGTTTTGGATTTTTGAGTGAGGCACATTACCGCGGGGTTATGAATTTCGAAATGAAAAGTTCAAACCAGAGGACAAGAGGAAAGAATGGAAGAGACAACTGAAAGTATAATGGAACATGACCTATGATTTTTAAAATTCTACTAAGAAGAGTATAGCAATAAAATATCTTTGGAGGGGAGAGGAAAGTTCATGCATCATCTACTTTGGGTGGGATGGGCACTCCTGATTTAACTTATTAATCTGTCGTAAATTTCAATTGAATTAATTGCTGTCACAGTAAAATCAATAACGTAGCTATTTGTTTTCACATGTTTCCAATTAGAAGACCTAATATTAAAAGTTCATCGATTGCTTATTTACTCTTGCTACTAATTTCATTGGATGGGATTGTTAAAAACAATAGATAAACAGTATCTTCTATTTGGATATCGCAATCCATTTAGTAATGGATGCTCTTGATATATTTGACATTTCAAGTAAATATTATACTTTGGCTATTGACATTTTTGTTAGTGTAACAGAAAAGATCACTCCAATTTGAAAGGAAAGGGGTGCATCATCGGATCAAAATGTCGAGCATTCGTAAGAAAACGACAGCTATAATCGCTTTGGAACTATGTTGGTGGGAGCAAACGAGACTACTTCTAGAGGACATATTCAGGAAACCTCGACTGACAGGTACCTTCCCATTCACAACAGGATACGACATTCGTCTATGGCCAGCATTACTCGTTGCTGTTGTCAGTATCGCATTCAACATTGCAGGAATTACTTACGCCAAGCAGGTTAGAATGAATCTATACATTTTCAATATACAGCTTATCAGGACTGTGAAGGCTACCATAACCACCTCATACAACATATTTTCTCCACTGTGGATGATCAAAAATCATGAATCCATAATAAAACTTTTGAGAATGATATCTTCAGTGGAAAAGGAGCTGGACAAAGTCTCACTTAAATGGAAATTTAAGCGACATCGACTTCCGTTCTCCTTGGTCCCTGCAATAGCAACCATAATATCAATAATTCAGTGTCTGTGGCTGTACCAGAATAACGAATTCTTCACTGCATTCTCACTTATCAGTGTGATAATATGTGCGTATCCAGCCATGTCTTATGTGTGGCAGTACCTCACCCTCCACGATGTCCTGAGGTCTCTCATGATCAGGATCGGCCAACTCGATGATGCGGATAGCTTCGTTTATTGCTACCATTCCTTAGTGGTTGCTTATCGTGCGATCGATAAACTTTACGGGTTGCAGATGATGATATATTCCATCATGGCGTTTCAAGCTATTCTCCATAGCCTACATTTCGTCTTCTCAAACGGCGATTTCTTTGTGATGACTGTCTGTCAAATCCTGTGGGCCTCTTTTTATTCGGTCATTGTATTACTAATTATCAGAAAGTGTAACTCTTCTCTGGCGCAGGTGAGTGAGAACTTATAATTAATAAAACTTTAATTCTATATATGTAAAATATATATATATATATATATATATATATATATATATAAATTAACAATCTTAAAATAAAAATAATATTCCTATCAAGGTATGTATGTCCATTAACACATTGTTCAGAAGAAATTAGTGTTTAAAGATTTCCATTGTCATGATTTATTTAAGTTATAATAATAATAAAGGTTTAGCGAACCCGAAGGTTCGATGCCGACGCCACCAATCGCTTATTACACACCTCCCTCCATCGTTTACCGTCCATACCTAGTCCCTTCAGATCGGCTTTAATGCAATCTTCGCACCTTGGCTTCGGTCTACCCCTCGGACGTTTACCATTCGGTACAACAAATATTTACCTTTTAGGAATTCTGTCGCCGAGATGAAATCACCTCGATTATATTACTCGGATACAGTTCACGCAATTCGGCGTTGTGTAACCGTCTGAACTCTCCCGTTAATTCATCCTTCTTCGGTCCGATTATTTTACGCAATTCTTTTTTTCAAAGACCTTAAAACTCTGCTCATCCGTTAATGTAAGCGGCCACGTTTTGCAACCACAAAGAACTGTAGGCAAGACAATGGTTTTATAGATTCTAATTTTTAAGTTGCGAGACAAGGGGCGCGAGCTAAGTAGTTTTGTCACAGAAAAATAACAAGCATTTCCCGCCTTCAGCCTAACCTTAATTTCTTCTTCAATTTCGTTGTTTTCTAGTTATCGTGGACCCTAGATACCTAACCTTCTCTACCTGTTCAAAAATATTACCATTTATATCGATATCACCAGTAATAACGCCATTTTTGCAGCTAACCGTATATTTTGTCTTATCCGTGTTTATTTCGAGTCCTAGTTCTTTACCGGCTTTCATAAACGTTGTCGTATTTAGTTTTATAGTTAACAGTACCAGATGATCCGCATAGCCCAGCACGGATGTTGTCCCACCCAGATCCAACGCTTTCTCGGTACGCATTATGCCAAATTGAACAGGACAGGTTAAAGGGAATCCCCTTGTTTTAAACCCGAACGAACCTCACACTTTTCGTAAAAATTATTACCGATTCTAATTTTATTGAGCCTTTCCGTCAAGCACATCCTCACCAGATTTACTAGTTTTTTTGGAATCCCCTGCTCGATTAGAATATTATACAGTTTCTGGCGGTCAATAGAATCGTAAGCCTTCCTGAAATCGATATACAGCTGGTGAACAATACCGTTGTACTCTATTTTTTTCTCTGATATTTGCCGTAAAGAAAATATTTGATCAATAGTCGAACGATTCCGTCTAAATCCGCATTGGTAGTCTCCGATAATTTCCTCGGCGTATTCCGTGATTCGACTGGTTAAGATTAAAGTGAATATTTTATAACATACCGGAAGGAGTGAAATTCCTCGATAGTTATTACAATCCGTCCTCGGACCCTTTTTGTGAATCGGAATAAGAATAGATTCTTTCCATTCTTCAGGTAATTTCTCGTTCACCCAGATCTTTTTAACCAACCGATGTATTTTAGAAACTCCAGCTTCCCCGCATGCCTTAATTAGTTCAGTAGGAATATTATCGATTCCCGCTGCTTTATATGATTTTAATTTTCCGATAGCTACTTCAACTTCCTCTTTACTTGGTCCTTCTATTAACGGTTCAGCACTCTGGTACTCAGAAGGAGGACACAGATCATAATTTCCCGTATTTAAAATATTGTCAAAGTGGTCCTTAAACTTATTCAATATGTCAACCGGATCGGTCAGAATATTGTTATTATCATCCCTAATTCCAGACGTTACGGGCCCTACATATTTACGTGATCTGTTTATACCTTTGTACATGTCTCTTACGTTATTTTCGATTCTATTAGTTTCTATTTCAATTATTTTATTTTTAAGATACTCCCTTTTTTTATTTTTAAACAATTTTGTCGTTTCGTTCTTTGAGGTTCGGAAGTATTCCAGATTGTCTTCGCTAGGATTATTTAGAGCTTTAAATTTAGCGGCTTTTTTTTTGCACATGTTTAAGCAGTCTCCATCAAACCACGGTTTGTTATTCTTATTTTCCTTTTTTCCTAGACACGAGTTACCGACCGCTTTAATATTATCCCTGATCTCTACCCATAACTTGTCACTATCCTCGTGGTCCTCGTCAGGAAACTCTAAAGCTGCAAACCCATTCTTAACATCTAGCTCGAATTGGGTTCTAATTGATGGATTTTTTCCAAATTAAAATTCTCAAAATCGAAACGGATTTTCTTTTCTCTTTTTTATATTAAGTTTTTGTCGGAATTTCGCGATTACTAATTCATGATCCGATCCATATTCCGCGATAACACCGTACATGAATTATACTGCTTTGTCAGCTATGTTGTATCAAGACATGATCGATTTGATCTTGTGTTTCGGTGATGCCCAAGTATATTTTTGAATATCCTTATGTTTAAACGTAGTACTTTTAATTATCAAGTTTTTCGAGATGGCAAAGTTTATCAGACGGATCCCATTATCATTACTATATTCGTGCAAAATTTCTTTACAAATCGTCGGAACATAAACTTCTTCTCTCCCCACCTTTGCTTTTGCGTCATTTACTATTATTTTCATGGAGTTACGCGGTAGTTTATCATAAACCCATTCGAGTTTATCGTAAAATTCACATTTTACTTCATCGTCACTGTCTTCGATCGGAAAATGTATGTTTATTAATGCGATTTTAAACCAACGTCCCTGAAATATAGCTAACGAAATTCTACCACTATAGAATTGTACGTCTCTCAAAGCGAATAGAAATCAATTCGTAATTAGAAACCCAGTACCTAAACAATGATTCCCGCTTCCTCCGTACCAAATAGAGTACTTTCCATCCCTCATCGAGCTCTCCCCTGGCCAGCGAACCTATTGCAGAGCCATGACATTAAAATTGTACCCATTAACCTCATTCGCGACTGATTTTAAGCCCTCTGCTGTGTTTAAACTTCTTACGTTCCACGTACCAATATTTAAATCCCTATTTTTCAACTTACGCCATGAATCCCTTAAAGCAGTCCTCACCCGGAGACCCGAACGGGGGACTAGTTTACCTCCGGATAATGAGCGTTTTACCTTAGGGAGATCCATGACTATTTGTGGTGTTTGGTGAACTAAAGATATGTGAGTAGGGCGTTCAATCCTACGTCACACCCTCCAGCAAGTCTGGTGGGCCCCTGTCATTGTTGTGCAGCTAGTCCATCGGACTTAGCTGGGAGGAAGTTCCAAGGAACCATCCCCACATCCGCCACCCATGGAATGCTATCTCAAATTTCCAAATCTCAAATTAAGGGTGTACAATGCTATCATAAAGCCTATTCTAATATAAGTGGCTGTGAGACATGGACACTAACCATCACCCTAGAAAGAAGTATTGAAAGATTAAGAGGAAAATCTTCCTCTCGATAGCCGGAGAGATCTGGGTTCGAAATACTAAAGGATGGAGTCAATTAATATCTCATGATATGAAAGCACGAATCTTAAGATAGGTGGGTCATGTAGCTCGGAGCAATCCGTTTGTTAATCTCTGCACGACAATGAATGCCTGAATGGCAAAAGAGCATGAGGAATTCCAGAATTAGATGTATAGATGGAATCAACAAGGATACAATATAGCTGCATGCAGACAACTAGAAGGAAATAGCACATGGCAGGCTGAGATGGCGTAGACTTATTAAGACGAGAAAAGTTCTACAAGGCCTGTAATGCTAAAAGAAGAAATTTAATAAAATAATATGTTTCCCAAATACTTTAACAACAAAATGCTAACATTAACATTTATATTAAATGTTGTTAAAATGGTTAACTATTAAGACAGGCATGGCATCGTTCTAGCAGAGCAGCTTTGGCCGAAGGGCATTGGATATTTTGTTATTGTTTAGCAAGCTTCAATTATACTTCAATATTTAATTTGAAAAACATTAATTATAAGTGTTAATGTTTACATGTTATTTATTATAGTTAAGGTTATTTATTATAACATAAATAATTCATAATAAAGCTCTTTAGACTTAAATAAATCATCCCAACCCTCTCGTTTCTAACCTTGCTTCCTCTTCAATTCCTTATAACCCTCCGAGGCGTCTGAAAGGAAGATGGCCCCGCGATCTCCTAATGTAGTCATATCATTAGAGTGCACCATTGGGTAGTTACTCAGCAAGTGTATTCATGTCATTATGTCTATTATGTCCAAATTTACTAAATGTATTTATGTAATACAGTTGTAAATGTCATTAAGAAATTAAAAAAAAGAAGACTTAAATATCGGGTAAGCAATGGTCAACAGACTTATCTTTTTTGTTTTAGGATCTTATCTTTTTTGAAAACCCTTGTATATATATACATATATATATTCGTTTAACTTCACATACTAATATTTACTTCTCAACAAACAGTCCAAATGTTTGTTGAAATCACATCTGTTGGCTGAAATGATTCTTCTTTGAATTTCCTTTTCCATGTCGTTATTCTGATTTTGAAGACAATCTTTTCCTTTATTGCCAAAAATAAGCTTATCCGCCAAAAAAAAAAGGTAAAAAAGTTTACGGGTTGGAAAAGAAAATAGACGTAACTTACAGGATAAGGCATTTTTCTTTTTTTGCTGTTTTCGTAAAAGAAATGATAAATAGATATAAATGAATCTTGGAATAAAGAGAAAGAGTACGGATGAAGGGCAGTAAATATATATATATTGTCAGTATTCTTTCCAATTAATCAATATAATGGTCCAGTACATCGAATTACTATATTAACTAAAATACAAATGTAAATGCGAATTGGTGTATGACATTTACAGATTTGAAGAGAAACTATCTATTGATAGCACTCCAATTATAGTTCTACATTGAAGGTCTTGAGACCATTGTCTTTTCAATTCCTTAGGATGCAAGGTTAGCAAATAGTGGATTTGGAAGTTCCATGCCTCGAGTGCCATATTCCTAGGCGTGTTGCAACAGTTTGCTCCCTACGATTTTCTTTTATCTGCGGGAATGGACTAGTGTGATCATAGATTTTCTTCATTTTATAATGCCAGACTTCTTTACATAGGTTTCTTACTGCTTTATAGAAGTCGGTCAGCACTGTGTTAATTTCAGGCATTATATATTAGGAGTATGCTTCTTTTGCTGCAGTATCAGCAAGTTCATTACCGGGTACACGGTTTGGGACCCAGAGATATTTAATTTTGTTGTTACTTTGTGTAATGAGTTGTGCGATAGAGAATACTAATGTATTTCTACAGAATTTGAAATTTTTTATTAGCTTGAGGGCTCGATAAGAATCGCTCAGAATTAGAATTGGAATTGAAAGTAGAATAGAATTATTAATAATTTCATCATTCGAGATGTATAGGGATAAATAGCTCAGATAAGAAAATTTCACATTAAACTGAAGTAAAAATCAATACATTTCAACAAATAAAGACACTATCTATAATACGACCGGATCTCCCAATCACTTAATAGAACTTCCGATAACTCAAACAAAATACATATTATATCAGTTGCTTCCTTCTTCTGTCATTGTCACTAAGGAAATGATAAAGTTCACTTTCATTCCTTAAAGAAGATAATGGTCGGTCGGATGGAAGGTGCTCGTGAGAAAAGACCGCCTTTAGAACTGCGCAGGTGGGAACAGACTAGGTTGGTATTGGAGGGAGTGTTCAGTGTACCTCGACTCACGGGTACGTTTCCCTTCAGTACAGGTTACGAAGTTCTTTTCTGGCCGTCAGTCCTTGTCCACATCGTCGTCATCATCCTTAGTCTGTTGTGTATAAGTTTGATCCCGTACATAGATCCAGATTATTGCCATAGAGGAGGATTGCTCTATATATTTGTAGTAAGAATCGTGAAATGCACCACTGCATCGATATACAACATATTGTCTCCATTGTGGATGATTTATAATCATAAATGCTTGAAAAAACTTCTAAGGAATGTCACCTCAGTAGAAAAGGAGATGGGCAACGGATCGCTGAAATTGAACTGCAAGCACAAGCACCTTCCTTTCTTATTTTTCCCCGTAATAGGTTCAGTCATCGTGCTCATGCAGTTCGTCTTTCTGTACCTCAAGTGCGGCTTCTTGTGCGCCTTTTCACTCGCTATCGTAGTTCTTGTCCCATTTCCTGCCCTGTCCTACGTGTGGCAGTACCTCGCTCTCCACGATGTCCTCAGGTCTCTCATGGTCAGAATCAGCAAACTGGACGAAGCCGATTCCTTCGTCAACTCCTACCACTCCTTAGTTATGGCTTACCGTGCCGTTGATAAACTTTACGGATTGCAGGTTATGTTGTATTTAGTAATGGCGATGGTTACTGCTCTCCGTAGTCTCCATTACTTCTTCTTTAGCAGAGAGTTCAATTCCACGAACGTTGGTCCGTTGCTTTGGGCCAGTTTCTATTCCATCATGGTGTTAATAATTATTAGGAGATGTAACTCTTCTGTAGAACAGGTGAGTTATAACTGAATCGCATGATGTTAAAGAGTTAATTTTCCATAAGAAATAACAAGTTTTTCGAGCAGAAATTTTTTCATATCTAATAAAACATTGAATCATCAAAACTAAAACTAAATGTGAGTGCTACAACTAAAATAAAAGACAAAATGAAGATAATGTTTAATCTTTTTATTAGGTTTCGTTTTTGACTATTATGTAAAAATAGGTGAAATAGTTGAGACCTCCTAAAGGAGACATCTTTAAAACCATCTCAATTTACATAAATATTTTCAAACATCTAGATTTGTATAAATCCTTAAAAATTGCAAAAAATAAAAAATAAATATTTATATGGTGTGGAAGGAAACCATCAAGTTCACTTCTCTGATACACACTCAGTATAATTCATGAAATTAAATTAGACTAATGTGTATGGTTAATATCTAACAAAACCATATGTCTTCATTTATTAAGAATTGTAATTGTTGCGCTAATCAATAGATATTATGAACCTAATAAAGGACTATGCGCTAATAAAGGATATTATGAACCTTTCAGGCTAAAGCGGTGAATGAACAGCTCTACAAGAGAATGGTCTATGAAGACAACAATAATCTCATTCACGATGTAAGTATATTTTCCTTTAACTGACTAATTTATTGAGATTGCTTCTACACATATATCTCATTTTACAATTAGATTTTTTACACACTGTTGTAATACATTGTTTGTTTGGTTTTTTCAAAATTCTTCTGAGTCCTGTAAAATTTCTTGAACAGTTAGGCTTATGATAAGTTTCCTCTTTATGACCAACGACAGTTGGAGATTGTAATACACATGACTTTTCCCGGACTACTGGGTCTCAGTTCCTCATGAGATATGGGAGTTTCAGAGCTTTAATTCATAGCTCCTTGAACATGGTAAGAACATTAATCTCTTATGCCCAAATTGTAGGATACTGGACGATAGATATTCTGAATTTGTCTGCACCGCCTTTGAAGCACTGAAGGCCAAGTTGCTGAGAGGCCAGGGTTCTACTTCTTAACGGAGAGGGATCTCCTTCAGCTACCGTGGCCTACTATGCATTAGGAGCTAGTCGGTTTTACTAACTCTCTTTGGCAGAAAAGGTCTCCTTCTAGAAGGCTGTCGGGAAGAGTAGGAGAGCGAGATGAACAAAGTGGCTAATTAAATAATAGTGTACACCACAAAAAAAGATTTTTTGTTTGTACAAGCGGGTTGTAACACAATTAGGCATTTCTCCCCACTGCTAGAAACTCTTATTGTCTACTAAGCAGAGAAGACTTTTAAATAAATAAAAAATTGGCTAAGAAATCATGAACAGAATGCTGTTAACGAATCACTGCTTCTATGAGTTGGCATCAACTAAGAGGCAACATCATGTCCAGAAAAAACTAAAAATTTGTTCTAAAACCCACTCATTTGACAAGATCTCATCAATGTTTCAGAATGATGCATATTGAGCGATAACACTATTAATATTTGAAAGAACAATTTTACAGTGTTTTTTTGGTGGAAATTGTCTTGAGGGCATCTGGAGAGGAAATAGAAACAAGAAAATCTATCGGTTGTAACATATTTAAAAGTATATAAGTGCAGGTGGCTCGGATTCCATGTGCCAAGAATGTTGAACTTTGAGGACTGGAAGACCAAAATTATGATGGGAACGTAGAGTAGCTCATAATAACAATGCTGTATGTGCAACTGGAAGGCATATAACCGAGATAATTGTATAATTGAGATAATTTTTTACTACAAGAAGATTTTTTAGACCTTAAAATACTGTCACTGTACTCCAATTTTACTTTTGAGGAAGGCTAAAATATTCAAACCATGGATGTGACTGAGTTGCAAAAAATTAAAAATAAAGTTTATTAATTTTTTTTTTTCTTTTCAGGAACTATTGGCATTCCACCTTAGTTCCTGCAGAAAACTGGTATTTACTGCTTGTGGATTTTTCAATCTCGACAATTCTTTGATTTGTTCAGTAAGTAATCTTAAAGAAATCCATACATTAAAAAAATAAATAAGGCATCATTAGGCGGTCAGATTGAATTATAAGATCTGATTTCCAAATATTGTAAAATTTATCATATAACCATTTTTTCTTATTTTACAGATGATCGCTTGTGCAACAACTTACTTAGTGATAATGCTTCAATTCACCCTCCCTACTACAGTTCATACCAATCTCAACCAGTCATTTGCACATTTCTAATTATATTGTTTATTATTATAATATGTTTATATTGGGCTGGCAAATAAGTCCTTCCGATTTTTCAGAGTTAAATAAAACTCAATGTACTATAGACATAAAATTCATTTTAATCTACAATATATTGATCAGTATTTCCCATCTTTCCATTAACTACATAATGCCATGTTCATAGAATGTCTGGAGTTTATTATCAAAAACTGATCCAAGTGGTTTTTGATGTCCTCTTCCTTTTGGAATTTCTTTCCATTCATGGAGAGTTCTGCAGAGACCGGAATAAGTGGTAGTCGCTTGGAGCTAGGTCTGTTGAATAGTTGGATAATTTATTGAAATTGACCAATGAGATGTGGGACCTAGTGTTGTCTTAGTGGAACACAAGACTTTTCTGATATGTAAGTTCTTGACGTTTATTTTTAATTGATTGATCCAATTTTGTTAATTGTGAGCAGTATAATAGAGTTGATTCAATTGTTTGTCCTGATGGCAATAGCTCTTAGAAAAAAACACCCTTAAAATCTCACTATATGGAAAGCATTATCTTCTTTGGATACAATACGGGTTTTGACATTTTTCTAGAAGCCTTACTACTAAGTTCCCAAGATTTTCTACGGCCTACATTATCATCAAATATCTATTTTTCATCTCCTGTTACTAACCTTTTCAAAAATAGTCATTTTGTTGCCATTTCCATAGTGAATTACAAATAGAAATGCCAAGTTGACTTCGGTTAAAGAATGAGGGTCCTAAACCTTAAGTCTGGAAACATAGCCGAGCTTGTGCAAATGGTTTTCTATGCTTGTGTGTGACACATTTTGGGCCATAGCAATCTCTCGCACTGATTGGGTGGGATTTAAATTTCATGTGGGCAACCAGAGCGTTGAGCATCATTGATGTCAAAATTTCCTGAATGAAATTCGGCAAACCAAATTTGACAGATGCGTTTGGTTATTGTTTTTGCTTTCTATGGACAAGAAATAGACTTTGGTGATTAGGTAAGCAGTTTAGGTATTATAAATCTGATACCATCAAAGTCAGAAGTTCACACATTTCACAAAGGAATTTTCATCCGTGTAACAGCCGCACAACTTGGCCCATTAGACACAAAGAAAGAGAGAAATATTAGCTTTCTGATGGCACTCATAAAAAATTGCACTTTACACATTATTCACTACAGAGCAGAGATGGACTAATTCTACTCCAATTACCAAATAACAAGCATTTTACTCAAATTGAATCGCTATTGGGAATGTAATCACACTTTAGTTAATCGTTTGACATAAACCGAAGTAGTAATTAAATTCTTTGGTATTCAAAAAAGATCAGAATTTGAGTAAAATACTTGTTACTCAGAACATTTGTCCATCTCTGCCACAGGGCCAGAAATATATTATCGGTTATAATACTACTAAAGTTTTTATCTATTTATATGGTTCTTTATCAGTAAAATAATTTAAATATTTTCAACGTTATGTACTTTATCTCTTCGCTCTCAAAAAGTACAATAAAGTAGTTTTTCAATCAATAGCTAAAACACAATTCTGTACATTTTATACTTATGTTTCAAGAAAATCCAGTTCAGTTTCTATTAAATAATTAAATAACTAAGAAATTGTAACATCTCTCATATATTTTACAAATAATAATATAACCTCGTGGAAGATCACATTCTACTGTTGGGATACTTCCAAAAGAAATAAGAGGTTGTTAAATAATAAACCAAATTATTAATATATTAAATTGAAATTTATGATTATTATATCTCAAGATATGGGATTGCTGACAATCAGGTCAAAAGATGCAGACAGACTAACATTAACTGCACTAAACACTGTTTGATTTTAAAATAAAATCAAGAATGGATTGGCAAGCTAACCTTTTTTCTATATATAGTGTTACTTCTTTTAACTCTTCTCTTTGAACTAAATTCATTTGTCTTCTAACATTTTCCTACGGTCTGCCAAATACATCTTTCAAATGGTGATATTTTTTTCTACTCAACTCAAGCTCCCTGGGAGATCCTCTCTCTTGTAATTCCAAACAACTAGTCTCTCTGCCAAACAAATTGCAAGATGGTAATACTATTACTGGGTTTTACCCACTGGAGCCAGGATCACTTCTCCTATCCTCTCTTCACTCCAGGCAAACACCAACTGCTGGCCAAAACAAAATCATTTGTCCCCTCTCCTCTTCGGGATTTTCCTTCTCTGAACTAGTAGAACTAGATTAGCTTGCCTTTTAACTGTTCAATATTAATTTATTAAATCATTTTTACCCACTTCCAATAAAGTAGTATATTACAAAATATAATGTAGAAGTTTACTATAAATGTTTTACTCTATTTAATATCTTTATAGCGTTTAATTTAAAATAAGTATTATTAATCTTTTATTTTGTAATTTTTTTTTTTACTCTTCATTATCTTCTGTGACTTTATATATAAGATGCTGTTTTTAGTGTCTTAAATTATTACAAATACTTTACCACACTATGATTTTTATTAATTATTACTTATCAATATTATTATCTGGATTAGAGAATATTATATTTATTATCGGAAATGTTAAGAATTAATGAATCGTAAATGAAGTTATTTATTATTATTTATTTTTTTTAAGTTACTGGCATATTCTATTTATTTTTATGGAATTATTTACATTATTTATTGTACAAGGAGGGTGATAAATAATCAGGACGCAGTCATTATACAATTTTTTTTATTTGTGCCAACGTTTATTTATCACCAACTATTTATTTATAATGACTTTTTATCACCCATCATATGTAGAACAGTCGATTAGCTTCATTCAATAATACAAATTTTGATTAATTTTTATTTTTTAAGAATTTTTAATCCAAAAAAATAGTATTGTAATCTTTTTTCTTATTATCTTGCCTATATTTTAAGAATAAATTTTAGAATTATTTCCATTTACAAAGTCATACTTTGTCACAGAGAAGTTATAATATTTTTAAAAATAATATATCGTATTACTTTTCACAATTTTAAAACCAATTTTATTCTTGGTTATTGCTACCAGGTACATTTATATATCAAGTATTAATTTCTGCACTTAATTTCAATAAACAAAAAAAACCTATTTACTAATGAATCCAACTAATTTAAGGTACTTAACTCAAAATTAGTATTTGTTTTTTCTAGTTTTAAGAAAAAAATTATTAACTATATTTATTATTTATTAAATACCATTTCACAATTTAAATAAAATTGTTTATGTTATAAGAATTTTATTTTATTTGATAGTTACATTATGTATATATACTTGATAGTTACGCCTATGTTTGTACTTTAAAAATATATCCATTATAATTCTTAATAGATATACTGTTTAACACTATTTAATCCTTTTGTTTTATATCAATCAATGTAAAATATGCTATTTAATGTTATTTCACTATGTTTATTTTACATTTGTATTTTTTAAAACATGTTTAGTTGTAGTTTATAAGGTATAATATATTGATACAAATAGGATCTGAAGTATAAAATCAAAAATGTATTTTAAACTATTATATTAGATACTCACTGTAAATAAACTGTATTTATACCAGGAGTAGGAAATAATAAGGACAGTGCATACCATCCCATAATGCCAAGTTCATATAATGTCTGGAATTTATTGTTAAAAAACTGATCCAAATGGTTTTTGATGCCCTCTTCGTTTTGGAATTTCTTTCCATTCATGGAGTTCTGCAGAGACCGGAATAAGCGGTAGTCACTTGGAGCTAGGTCTGGTGAATAGGGAGGGTGGGGAAAAAGGTCCCATCCAAGACTCAGTAATTTATTGCTAGTGACCAATAACGTGTAGGGTTTAGCATGGTCTGTTCTAGCCTTTTAATGGTCGAAGATAAGATAGTAAAGTAATATATATTCTTAAAGTAAATTTAATATAAAACTACTTTGTTCTTCATGACTTTTTCTTAAAATGAAAAGATAATAGTTGGTTAGTCAAATAATAATAAAAATTCAATGTAAATTTTTTTTTCTCGAAATTAGTGAATTGCGAGGACGGATATCACGAAAACTATAAAATATAGCGAAAAAACTAATAATACCATTTCTATTGCAAATTTTGTCAGATTTAATTTTATATATGACATTATTATAGATAGAATGCATAGTTTCACTGGCATTAGCAAATAACAGTAAAGTATAACAGTAATTCATGAAGTAAACTTTTTGATTCGTTTTTTTTTATTTTTTATTTTATTGAAATTTACAACTGTATTACATGGAAAATACAATAAGTAAATGTGACATTGGTAACATGACATGTACAACATGAATGCCCAACATGAGTACCCATTGATAGTACTCAAATTAAAGTTCTATTTAGAAGGTCCCGAGGCCATCTTCTTTTCAGAAGCCTCGGAGGGTTATCAGGGATCGAGGAGGAAGCAAGGTTTGAAACGAAAGGATTCGGATGGTTCTGCAGTTTGTTATGGAAGGATAGGCATCTGGATTGGGCCAGATCGGAAACATATGGAACATTAAGGTCTTTATGGATGATTTTATTTGTGACAAAGTAAGGAGCGTTGAGGATTTCACGAAGGATTTTGGATTGTAAGGGAGGAATTCGATGGTTTAGTGGAGCCCCAAAGCTCAATTCCGTAAGTGCAAATAGGTCTTATTATTGCCATATATATGAGTCGTTTGTAATTGATTGAAAGCGTTTGTCTAGTAAGTGCTGCAGTAGTCGTAAACGTCGTGCGGTTTCTAGTCGTTTCAGTCTCGTATGGGGGTTCCAAGTTTGTCAAGGTGGAGTCCTAAATATCGGATTTGTTTGACAGGGATAAGATGGCTATTGTTGAAGAATACTGTAGGACAGGATCAACCAATCAACTACCTAGAAAAACCAAGGAGGCGTAAAGCCCTCTTGGAAAATCAACTGCATACCATGACAGCAATTTCGAGCTGAAAAATACCCTTAATTACCTAAATTTTTATACTGATATCAGCAGAATCCTGTTATGTAAACATTGTAAAAGTCAACAACGACAAACACATCCTCAGATTGTCACATTCATGACAGGTGAGGATAAATATTCAAAAAGGAAAAAAAAAAAATTAAACAGAAATCTTTGCTCATGACAAAATCAAAAAGTATATAAGTTCTCCTACGGAGAAGAACTGGCCGTGAACGCGA